CCTCCATGTTTCTTCCGATCTGCTGGTGGAAAACCTTGTCCATCAACCGCTGGTAGGTGGCCCCTACATTTTTGAGGCCGAAGGGCATTATTCTGTAACAGTAATTGGCGCGGTCAGTGATGAACGACGTATGCACCTCATCTGGTGGGTACATCATGATCTGGTTGTACCTATTTATATATTCAAATATAATATTTTTATATATAATTTATTACTCTTAAAAAATATATAATTTATTATAAAATTTAATTATATTATATATAAATAAACATGATTATACATTGTACAAACTAAAATACTAGTTAATAAATAATTGATAATATTTTATGAAATAGTAATCAATAATATTTTAAATTTTATAAATTGATAAATGGAATCAATCAATCTTTATATATTAAACATGAATTTTTAACTTCCATGATAGTATTTTTAAGAATTTTTCTTCAATGATAAGATATTTAATAATTTTTTTTAACTTCTTATCTAATTTGGTTTTATTTACCATGATTATTTATTAATTAAATTTTAATTATATATGAAATAGGGACATTTTTAAAGATTTTTCTTTGATCAAAGAATTTTTAGAATTTTTTTAACTTTTTATCTAATTCAATTTTATTTATCATAATTATTTATAAATTATATTTTAATACTTTTAAAATAAATTATCAATAAATAACAATAATATTATGCTACAATATAAATTATCTATAAAAATTTTAATATATCATTTATATGTTTAAAATATATATTTGTAAAAATTTAAAATATAATTTATATATTCAAGTACAATATTTATTTATATATAAAATTTATTATAAATTTTAGTTAGTTACATATAATAAATATAAATATCTAATATGTGCATTACACATATTAAAATATTATTTATTTATAAAAAAGACACATTGAAAAGAATAGTCACAATATCTTTGCATTATTACATAATTATTTTTTATTTTAGTTTCAAAGATACATAACAGATAAAATTATTTGTCATAAATTGAAATTTTTTTTAATAATTTAAATATATAGTAAATTTATTTTTGATTTTTAGATTTAAAATTATTATCTTTAATTTTTTATAATTTTAAAAATCTTACTTTAATTTTTTGTCATTAATAATATATTTAAAGTATCATATTCTAATTAAGAAATATCAATAGAATTTGTTATGTTTTTATTAACATTATTACTGATATATAGATTTTATGTAATATAATTTGATAATTTTTAAAGAAAATTTAAATATAAAAATAAAAAATATATTTTTTAAAATTATAAAAATTAAAATATTAATCTTAAATTTAAAAGTCGAGAATCATATTTAATTATATTTTTATTTTTATGTTTGAAAAGAAAGAATCGTAATATAACTAATAAAAGTCGGTGCAATATATCTTAATCTCTGCGTAACAATCTTAAATGATTATCATCGCTAAAGTTAAAAGTGGTGAGTTATTAAATGCATCTATAATTCGAGATATAAGAATACACCACAGTGCCTGCTTTTTCAATCCTTCCAAACGTTTTTTATTTTTTGGAGTAAATGGTTGGAAACATTTGTTCAGCGAAAAGAGAGAGGTTGTGCTGTGCTGTGATATGAGAGAGTTACTTCCTGCAGAAGCTTCTGTGTGGAATCTATAAAACAATTATGGGGAAAGGAGAAGAATAAATAGAGAGAGGAAGAAAGAGAAACGGTTTAATTTTAAATTAGTGGTGATTGATTTCTAAGAAATCATCAAAAGGGGTGTCGTGGCACCTTTGTTCTTCTACTTAGCCGAGATTCTGGAAAATCAAAATCTCCACGTAATCTGCTTGTAACAATTTTCTTCTTTATCACTCTAAGATTTTTGGCTTACCCTTTCCCTCAACAAACAAACTAACCAACTGTTTGTTGTTCTATTTTCTCAATTTTGTTATGTATGCGCTGTATGTTGTTGGATTCTGACTTTTCTTCAGGAACCTGGTTCTGGGTTGAGTATAATTCGGGTTTTTTCTTCGCGGTCGTTTTTGGGTTTGATAGTTTCGTCTCTTTTGGGGCATTTTTTTCACAGTAGCCTCTTGATGAAAGGGTATTTTAGTCTCCACCTCATTGTTTCTCACGTGGGTCTGTTTTCTGGATTGGGTTGCTGTTAACTAGGGTTTTCGAGGGGATCCGAGGTTAAAGTTTGTGCCTTTCCACGATGTATGTGCAAAGTTCAGCTATTTTGCAGTGTTGATTGATTGATTGATTTGAAATTTCAAGTTTCGTGTCTTTGGACGAAAATTTTGTCCTTATTCTTTTTCTATATAAAATTTCTGGTGTAGAGTGAAAGATTGTGTGGTCGGAAAGAGATTATGCTTGGGTTTACTTTGGTGGTATTGTGTTTCAACTATTGGTGAGGGTTTGATTTGAACCCTTTGTTTGGTTTCCTTTATTGGTGGAGGAAGAGGTTGTGATTGTGTTTGGGGCTTTGTTTGTGTTGATTGGTGGATAAGATGAGTTCCAGCGTGACTGGAAGTTTAGTCCATCAGGGCCAGCTGCTGGTTCATATTGCTGAGAATGGACACTCCTTTGAGTTGGATTGCAATGAAAACACACTTGTTGAAGCAGTTATGAGGTCCATTGAAAATGCTACTGGGATCAATCTCAGTGATCAGCTTGTACTTTGTTTGGAAATGAAGCTCGAGCCACATCGCCCTCTCTCTGCATACAAGCTTCCATCTGATGACCAGGAACAGGAAGTGTTCATATTCAACAAAGCAAGGCTTCAGAACAACTCGCCTCCTCCACCGCTGGAGCAGGTCGATATTCCCAGTCATTTGGAGCCTCCATCGCCGGCCTCCTCCCATGATCCGCACCCTCTTGATGATGCTTCAGATCCTGCTTTGAAGGCTCTGCCTTCTTATGAGCGGCAATTCAGGTACCATTATCATCGGGGGCATGCGATTTATTCTAGTACTGTGATGAAGTTTGAGCATTGTGAGAGGCTTTTGAGAGAACAGATGGTCCAAGAAAGAGCAGTGGAGGTTGCAAGGGGTAATTTGGATCAGTACTATCGAATGATTAACCAAAACTATGGGGACTTCATGAAACGTTATATGCAACAACACAGGATGCATTCTGATCTTTTGGTGAATTTTGGAAAGGATGTTGAGAAACTACGATCGATCAGACTTCACCCTGCTTTACAAACTGCTAATCGCAAATGCTTACTGGATTTGGTCAAGGAAGAAAACTTGAGGAAGTCAGTGGAGAATTGCACTAGCTCCCACAAGCAGTTTGAGAATAAAGTGTCACAACTTAAGCAGACCTTTGGGGAAGTGAAGCGACGGTATGAGGAATTGTTGTCCAGCAGGGCTTTCTTGCCCATCAATAATCTAGAACAAGCAATTAAAGAACACCAGAAATATATAAATGAACAAAAGAGTATCATGCAATCTCTGAGGTTAGTTCTCTTTCATTTTTCAACTATTTTTTCTGTGCTCGTTATTGCTGACGAAGCATCTAAAGTTAATGTTGTTTGCAGTGGCATCCTGTTTTGTAACTTCGTTACATGTTTCATGAGTTTAATATTCAAATTCTGTCCCTCAATTTCTCATATGTTCTCTTAGCACTTAGAAGGCCTGGTCTTAAATAATTATGTACCGTTTCTGCAAAGGTCTTGATCCATTACATGTTGGTTATGAAACTTGTACGTCTGAGACTTTTCTTTTCTAGTTTTTGTAGTACTTAACAGTTCACTAGAGGAGAATCAACACGAAATAATACTTGATTCCGGATATTACGTGCTGTTATTATTGATTTTGCAACTATATTTGTAATCCTTTTGTCTTTTGAGATACTTTCGTCATATCAAATGTTGTCAGCACAGCTTATAAATTATATTTTTATGGGTTTTCTGCAGCAAGGATGTTAACACTGTAAAGAAACTAGTAGATGATTGTCTATCCTCCCAATTGTCCTCCTCGCTTCGTCCTCATGATGCTGTTTCAGCCTTGGGTCCCATGTATGATGTTCATGACAAAAACCACTTGCCTAAAATGCAGGCTTGTGATCGCGCTATTTCAAAGCTACTTGAGTTCTGCAAGGAAAACAAGAATGCAATGAATCTCTTTGTGCACAATTACATGCAAAACATAACTTACATTTCTTATCTCATCAAAGATCAGAAGCTACAGTTCCCTGTTTTTAAAGAGGCAATGGCTCGTCAGGATGGATTGTTTGTGGATTTAAAGTTGTTCCATGGTATTGGTTCTGCATACAGAGCTTGTCTTGCAGAAATAGTGAGACGAAAGGCTTCTATGAAGCTATACATGGGCATGGCTGGGCAAATGGCTGAAAGGCTTGCTATAAAACGGGAGGCTGAGCTCAGGAGGCGGGAGGAGTTTCTGAGGGTTCATAGTTCATGCATTCCTAAAGATGTATTAGCATCTATGGGCTTGTTTGACTCTCCTAACCAATGTGATGTCAATATAGCTCCATTTGACGGTAGTTTGCTTAATATTGACATATCAGATGTGGATCGTTATGCTCCTGAATATCTAACAGGAGTAACCTCCAAGCTGGAGAAGCATGGAAGCTTTAAAGGTTCATCTGCTTTGAGTAGTGATAGCTCTCACTTGGCTGAGGCTGTAGGTATTACTGCTGACTCAATTGAGAGATATGATTCTGAGGATTTGCTTGATGGCAGTGAGCTGATTGAAATTGCTGGAACCTGCAAGTTGGAGGTTGAGAATGCAAAACTGAAAGCTGAACTTGCTGCTAGAATAGCTTTAATATGTTCTCTCTGTCCTGAGGTAGAGTATGAGTCACTGGATGATGAAAGGGTGAATAGTATACTGAAGAATGCAGCAGAGAAGACAGAAGAAGCCTTGCATTTGAAAGATGAATACATTAAACATTTTCAATCCATGCTTAAGATGAAGCAAATGCAATGTGTGTCATATGAGAAACGTATTCAAGAATTGGAGCAGAAATTGTCTGATCAGTATGTGCAGGGGCAGAAGATGTCCAGTGTAAATGATGCAGCTGACTTTCCCCTTGTAGCTGGGAAGACAGATAATCGCAAGTCAGAATATATCAGTGGTGAAGCCCACATGCCTTGCATATCTACTACTGAGCCCATGGATGAGGTTTCATGCATCTCTAGTTCTTTGGATGCAAAACTTGGTTTGTTCAGAGAACATACTGGTAAAGCATTAGATGGGGTGGACGAAAATATGTTGGATTCCTCTGGAGTTCAGAACCCACAGTTGGATTCATCTATGATGGAGCCTCATCGTGAAGAAGCACAAAGTGCTGATAAAGATAAAAAAGACAAGATAATTGGACAATCGGGCATGTCGCTAACAAACAGTTCTACTGGTGAGAACATGCCTGTGTCACATGATCTTGTACCTTGTGACTCGGCAGTTAGTCAAGACTTGGAATCTAAAGTAAATGATGACAAGGTTTTGGAACTACAAAGTGCACTTGCAGATAAGTGCAACCAATTGAATGAAAATGAAACCAAACTTAAAACTGTTATGGAGGAGGTTGCTGTGCTCAGAAGGGAGTTGGAAGCAAGTCAAAAACTACTTGATGAATCTCAGGTAACTGTGGAAATGAATCAGACACATCATTTTAGGGTTGCAATTTAATTTTCTAAAAATCTTTTGCGTAATTCTCCTAAACCATTTCTTATTTTGTTTGAGTCACCATTTTAATGTCATTTTCCAACCTCTGTCACTGTCTTCTTTCACCCCTTTCTTTGCAATTTACACAAACATGCTTTCTACTGGTAATTCTTCTGAAAAGTTTTCAAATTATTTCTACCAAAAAAGAAATTTGTCATTTCTGTCATCTTCCTGTAGCCTTTGCTTTTCAACTCCCACATTCTTGTATTTTAGTTTCTATAGATCTATTCAGATGATAATAGATATATTACTAACAGTAAATTTCCTAAGCATCTGTGCGCTGATTTTGTTGTTCTATAAAACCATGCCAGCGGAGTTTTAGTTGACTTTTGGAAAGTGTATAGTACATAAGTCAGGCTTACAGGGCATAGTCTTTTCTGTTGATGCATGTTGAACTTCTGTTGGGCTGAGCAACAGGCATCTTTGTAAAAAAATACAACTAAATTAAGATTCTTAATTGATTCTTTTATATATTGGATTGAGTTGTGAGATGAAGTTGAATTGGTATGATTGATTTAGAATTTGATGTGCAAGTCTTGTTTAGGATTAGAAGGAATGTATAATGAACTATATATAGTTGGTTTATTTTTTTTGGTCTCTAGTACAAAGCTTCATTAATTTCGTTCATACTCATTGTTGTTCCATTATTGTGATTGCCTTTTATATTCTTATATATTTTTCCTCTTTCACTACAGATGAATTGTGCTCACCTGGAAAATTGTTTGCATGAGGCAAGAGAGGAAGCGCAGACACAAAAAAGTTCTGCTGACAGGAGGGCTTCGGAGTATAGCTTACTACGTGCTTCTGTTATTAAAACACGAAGCTTTTTTGAAAGACTCAAAACCTGTGTTTATTCTACTGGTGGTGTGGCTGGATTTGCAGATTCCCTGCGTAATTTGGCACAATCTTTGGCCAAGTAATTTACTTACATTAATTACTTATATCATGAGCACCCTTGGAAAATTTTATATCCTTCCCCATTATTGCACCCATTCCCACTGAGAAAGAAAAAAAGTTCTATGGTGCTGGACTGGTAGTGATGAAATTAACTTCCTTATTCTAGAAACAAGGCACACATTTTAGTAGTAGGGATGTTCATTCATAAAGTTTGATGTTGGTGGGGTCATTTATAATACATGAATTCATTTAGCAATCACTTTGTTAGTTGAGACTTGACAGTTTGGCTAAACACTAAACAGTTCTTGCTCCTTTGGTATCTTTTGCTTGGAGGGGAAGACATGTGCCATCTAACATAAATAATTCCCAACCGCTTCCTTTTTGTCCTGAAATAGAGAAGATTATATAGGCTATTGTTATAGGCTGATGTGCTTTCTAGTGATATTTTATATTTATTCATAATAAATTGTGATTATAAGAATGACCGAAATTCTTTTGTCTCTTTTCAGTTCTGCTAATGACAGAGATGATGATGATATTGCTGAATTCCGTAAATGTATCCGAGTACTGGCCGATAAAGTTGGTTTCTTATCTAGGCACCGTGAAGAGCTGCTCGAGAAGTACACAAGAATGGAAGCTGCTAACGAACAGCTTCGGAAAGAATTGGAAGAAAAAATAGACCAGGTCAAAACTTATTACAACAAGCATCAACTTGAGAAGCAGGTAATTTATTGTCCTCACTTTGTTAGTTATTGGCTTCTTGTTTTTAAACACCCTTTTCCTTTTAAATTGTCACCCTATGAGATGGCTATTTTTTAACTACAGCTGGCTCATGTCCTTTGGAGCCTAAATGCCTGATGATTACTCAATAGCATGAATGTTTTTGTTGTGACTGTATAGATGGAAGTTCTATCTATTTCAAATTCTGGACTGAGTTATATTCTGCTTGTGAAATTTTGGTACAGGCAAACAAAGAGAAGATTTGTTTTGGTTGCTTGGAAGTTCACGAGATAGCTGCCTTTGTGCTCACTCCAGCAGGGCATTATGAGGCGATTACTAGGAACTGTTCTAACTACTACTTATCTGATGAATCTGTAGCCCTGTTTGCGGACCATCTTCCAACCAGACCTAACTACATTGTTGGACAAATCGTGCATATCGAACGCCAAGTCGTGAAGGCGCCGCCTCGGCCTGAGCATGGTAGGACTGATAAATTTACCCCTGACAAGGGGACTGACTGGTTGACCTTGAATTCAGGCTCAACTCCAAACCCATACGGTCTCCCTGTTGGCTGTGAATATTTCCTAGTGACAGTAGCCATGTTACCTGATACCACCATTCATTCATCCTCTCCTTCCTGATCCTGCTTCATCCTGGCAGATTAGACGTGATGGAAGAATTCAATTGTAAATAGAACTACATTCAAAGTCCAAATGCTCTTTATGGCCTTTTGTACAGCTGATGAACCAATTTAGTTTCGATCTCCCTCGTGTACATATTTTCTACCTTTTATGACATTGTATAAATTGTGAATATTATTTACAACTTGTTTATTTGGACATTTGCTATTTTCATCTTATTAAGTTGTCACATTTGATTGGGCAAGCAATATTTTCCTAATCACTAGATAAGTACCTCTAATAGAATTACACAAATCATAAGGCATCATAAAGTCAGATGGTCTGAGGTCAGTTCTCCGACCCAACTTATTACCAAATATCCGTGGGTGTGCAAGCTTCTCAATCAGGTAAGTAACATCCCTTTAACATGTTAGGTACGAGGGTACCCAACATATCTGGTACAACATTGTAGAACAATTCAACCTTGAAAAGATGGGGGTGTTTATAGAAGCAAGACCAATGATTCGGGTGAAATCCATATTTCATCTGGTACAACATGCTTACCTTCCAAGGATTAAGGTTGTAAGAAAACTACGAAATACTGCAAATCCTGGTTACATAATATAGTGGGTCTCATACTGGTAGACCACACCTGTAATTGGGACTTGATTTCTGCTATTATTATTATTATTACTATTATGGAAGCTTCCATGTCGCATGGTCCAGAACTACCTAACAACACTCTTAACTCTCAAGAACAGTACGGATTGTTAGGAAACCCTGAGAACAATATTTGAAGAGTTAACTTCTTGTCCCTTATTGGTTGCTTGGTGGTTGAAGCTGCGGGGGCATGAGCATCACCCTTTCCCCAAGACAAAAAAACCTTGTTTAGAGTAAGATTCCTCAACTGATTACGCAACAAATACATCCAAGAAGAAAAAAGTGGCATCCTTGATAAAGCCACCAGAGTATCTAATTCACAAGTCCGATATTTTATTAGTAGCACATTATTTATTTACATGCAGACAACATTGTACAAGACCCGGATGGAAAGATCAGGAGATAGTGCTACAGCACCTACCTGTTACAGTTTTTTACACAGGTTCTACCAGGATTCTTCATTAAAATATTTTCCAAATCCTGATGGTTCGTATGGTAAAAATTAAACTTTTCATGCCTACGAAGACTACATATCCTCTATACACCTTGATATTGGCCATTTTTTTCATTTCAAATATCAAATAACTATCTGTCGTTATCGTCTTCTGATATGTTAAACAAAATTTGAAAGTGATGCAATTCGAGGAAGGTGAAGAAGTAACTCTCCAAAAGAGTCTTTCTTGGACATGCCTAGTGCTTGCTTGCCACCAGAAACATCTCTAAAGTCCTCTTCAGCAGGCTTGACATCCATTTTAATTTTGTTGTTCTGCCTTGATTCAATAACATGGCTAGGTTGAATATTTTTTCCATCATCAGGTCCTTCAACAGCACTTTCCTTGTCACGTGGATCCCTCTGTAGAAGACAGCAGAGAGAATTGACCCTTGACATGAGTGATTTTTCATCAGAAGTTATAACTTGATTGTCATTAAGAAGATGCTGCGCAATTCCCTCTAGCATTTCCTGGTACCCCAATCTTCCACCACAAAAAGATGGATTCCCGGAAGTTGTCTGTTCGGAAAGGCAGTGTTCAATGTGACCAATAAAATCACTCACTGACATAGAAGGGCGGAGTCCAGGCATTTTTATCTGGTCCCAAATTCTTGTGCCCTTGAAATCAGTTTCAGAACTTGGACTCCCTTCAATTGCACAACAATCCATGAATTTTATATAAAAAACAAAAACAGTTAGCTTATACAAAGGCCACCAACTAGGATTAATAAATAAGCCATAGAAACGACCAGTTAATCTTAAGTTCATCATGAAGCCATGAAGCCATATTCATACAACATAAACAGATAATGCTTAGACATAGCTAAGTATAAGTTATGGCTAAATCTTAAGAATGTAAGATAAAAAATAAGAATATGGTATACCGATCCACATGCCCAATATAAATGCTGTGCACAATCTCTAAATGTGAAATCATAAATGCTATGCAGTCTCTTCCCTGATCCCAGTATATATGTCAGAATCTGACAACGATGCTATTCAGCAAATTAAGCATATTGGTCTAACGATGAAATTCACATGTTAAAAGAACAGTGATGGATTTGTGAGCCGTCATTGGTATTTTATAATCATGCAATTAGAGATGAATTAAATAGTTTGCCAACAAATTACAAGGCAGAGTAGCTTGTTATTACAAGCCATGTTCTTTACTAATTGATGAAGCAACTGATTCATAATAGTTTCTAGAAGTTTATGTCACAATCAGTTCATGGTTGTCAACAGAACATGATGATCCTATCGTGGAAAATCTATAACTAAAACCAGTTCTCCACCTCCTACTACTTAATTTTGAAGTTACACTTCATCCTTTTATTGATAAGTTTTCAAACATTGAACACCAAGAAAACAAACATGTTGGAAAGAAAATTGTAAGCATGAGAGATATATGTGAAAACTGGGTACATATGAATCTCTCTCTCACGCAAACACGCACTTTGTTTCTTGGGCTATGTTTGGATTGATAGCAAGGCATGAAATAATGCTAGGTTCCATTGTTTGGAATGTTAAAATAGAATGAAATGGAATAAAACTTGATGGAATGGATTACATTTCATTATTTCTGTTGTGATTCAGGAATTGTGTGTATTGTTGTACACATACCAATCTTATTTATAGAGTGAATACAATAAATGATAGAGATACTAATCTCTAATATTATGAAAACTAATCTAATCATATCCCTAATTGATAGTGAGGATAATAACCATAATATATGTATCCACAATATCTGTAATATATTCACAATATCTGTAACAATTTCCAATACCCCTTTTTTCTTCCCTTTTTTGCTGCCATCGTTACAAGCATTCAAACAATGTTCCTTTCTATTTCATTATTCTACTCACTAACAATTAGACCATTAGATATACAAACAAACATAAACTTAGCGAATGGGGTGGGTGGGAAATTGATGAGTGAAACAAAGGGCCCAATGTCCAGGGAAATCAAAACAAGAGTTAAGTTCTTACAGTACCTGAGCTGGGAGAAGGTGCGTCACAAGGTAGACTATCCAAGGTAATGTCAAGACAATCATTGTGCTCAATCTTAAATGATGGCGATAGGGATGAGCGAGGTGATCCTGTGTCCTGCAAACAAGCTGCTATAGATCCTTTACCATTGACAAGGTGTAAATCACAATCGTCTGGATTTTCAAGGTTCTCAAAAGCAGCCGTTCGTGTATCAAAATGAGGTGAATCCAAAATTATCTCAGGTTGTTGGCTTAAGAAATTAAGACGCATGTCACATTGGATGAGCTTTCCAATATGCTTGGCTAACATCCCTTGCGGAAATTCCAAAAAATGCTGCCTACAAAACCACGAGATGAAGTTCTCAAACATCATGGCCTAGTAAATTAAGGCTTTTAGGACCTAAATATATAGTATCAACCTAATAGGCTAATACAAATGAACACTAAGAAATTTAACCAAATAAATTTTTTTTTTCCAAATGCTTTAAAATATATAGTACGACTCCTATAAAGCCTTGTAATACTACATCAAATGCAACTCGACCTCTCTTCCTCAATTATTTCAATAAGCTATCTTGCATTCTTGCTCTTATCTGACAGCATGCTCAGACAGGTTTTATTGTATGCTGGTTTTCATGCTCAGTTTATGACAAATCAACAAAACCATAATATTATGTAAAACATTTGAGCCCAAATCCACATATCAGAGGATAGTGAATAGAATATACCTGTGTTTGCTAGCCTCTCCATCAGTAAAATCTGATGTTGCCTTCCACAGTGTATGCTTTCTAGGCTGAGGATTAGTCTCCCTGAAGAAAAGAGGCTGTCTTGCAAGCTGCAACACACAGAAACTCACCAATAAATCAATGAAACAGAACATTTAGCTATGCATAGGTGTTTGCATGTAAAAGAACTATAACAGTTGCCACAGAGAGAGGAAAACAAGAGAATAAATTACCACTACAGTCAACGAGCTAGGTTCAGTATCAGGACAATTTGCCTTAAGTGCCATTATATCTGACCATTGGATTTCCATTTTGCTCTTTAGTTCACCTTCAAGAACTTCCCAAACTAACTTATGCTTAGAGAAGTAACACTTTGCCACTAGGTCACTCTCATGTTTTGATTTATACTGTCACAAAGAGAGCCTTAAGCTAAGTAAAACTCACTGAAAAATATATTTTCCCAAAACTCTAGTAACATGTAGTATCTTGAACATACCTCCCACGAACCAATTCTTAAAAGTGAAGCCGGGAAATTTGAAGCCTTAAGCTTCTCCACAGAAACTGATGCAGCAGCACCACGACTCTCCTTTTTCAATCCAGAGCTCAAGTTTTCATTTTGTGTATTTGCAATAAACATATTCCCTTGAGAAAGCTTCAGTTGTATCAAATCTAAGAGCGAAGGGCTCTTCCTCAGACGTAAACCTAGAGGGCTAGGCTCATCGAGTATATTGTACTGGGAAGGAGAACTGAATGAATTACTGTTTGAAGCATTCCATTGCTAAACAAATTTTGAAACCATGCACAAAAAGAAAGGAAGTTGTCAAAGTGACCATAACGTTAATAACAAAATAAGGAAAGAAAAGAAAGTAAAAATGCAATACAAGGATTATTTTTAACTAAGCTTAAGATTAAAAAATGCATGTTCTATGATCTCAGCTCTATATTATTGCTTCATTCAAGACACTATTAGTTTAAAATTGCTCTATTATTAAAAAAAATTAAAAAGATGAGAAACCTCTTGTGAAGGTTTGAAGCGCTTGTCGAGAGGAGCATGCTCCTCCATCTCCAACTTCACCGGCACCGTTTCAAGGTCTGAACGGAGCTTCCTCAAACCCATTTGCTGAACCATCAAATTTTCTGCTGAAGTGAAAATTGCTGAGTATTGATTGAATCACAAATCGAAATGTTCTGATATCACAATAACCCTTTTAAAAAAAAAATAACAACAACGCGGAGAAGACCAAAGAGAAAGAGGAGCTTTTGTTTTGGTTCACAATTGGCGGAAAAAAAAAAATAGTTCGATGCTTCTGAGGTGGTGCGCGTGCAAGCGACGGAGCGGCGCGTGGGAAACTTTTAATACAATAATACTTGGGTTGGTCATTGTGAGCGCGTGTGATGGCAGACACGTACCGTACGAAAGGAATTTAGGGTATGGATAATGTGGGTCCCTTCTTTCTTCGTTTTTAAGTGACGGTAACTTTTGTTGCCAAATGCCAATGGTTCAACTTTTGACAAGTGGACTCTTTCCTTTCAAGAACTAATGGATAACGTATTATGGGAATTGGGATACTTTTTTACCTCCCAAATCTTAATTTTTCCTTTTTTTCTCTCTGTTAACGACCTTTTTTTTTATCGCCAAATAAATTTCAACTTTCAATTCTTTTTATAAATACTAAGCAAGAAAAAAGACATTCCATGCATTATATTAAAAGAAAAAAAATAAATAAAAAGAAAAAAAATGAAAGATTATTCCTAAAAAAAAGTAATTATTAAAAATAAAAACTTAAAGTAGTTATTAAAAGTGATATTCTCTTTATATATTAATATTAGTATAAATTTATTAGTTTCAAATTTTTAAATTTGATTAAAAAATATTTTTTTTATAATTTTTTAAAATAAAAGGGTATAATAGTAAAAAAAAAGTGGAGACCAAAATAATTATCAAAAATGATATTTCTTTTATATATTAATATAGATATCTTATGATTTAAAGTAATTGATTTATAAATGAATACATATATAAAATACATTCATATATATATATATATATATATATATATATATATATGTATATATATATACATATATATATATATATAGTTTTTTTTTAATCACTTGAGAGTGTGGTTCATTTTGCCTTCTATTAAAAGTGGGTATATACCAATTTCCTAGCGAATCAACTTTTATGGATTAAAAAATATTGCGTGTTCAATGTATCTCTTCCTTTTTTATGGGCTAATATCTTTATTTAATTATACTAGCAAACTCTAATTATAAAAACGTGTCCTGGGATTCAACTATAATCGCATTTAACATCTAAGTTCAAAGTAATTATTTGGTAACAATGCATTTGATACGAACTTTAACCAAATAAAAAACAAACTAATTAAGCGGGTGTTTAAATTTAATGGGAAGAACATGCTACGAATTCGTATTTGCACTATCAAGCATTTTCCTTTTGGATTATTTTAAATTGAAGCTATTTTGCACAAAAAAATAAAAACGTGCGTGGAAAATATTACAAATCATTTTAAAAATATTAAAAATATGTGAATGAAAATAAACTATTTTATAAACAATCACAAACTGGAAATATTATTATGCTATCGTGTTGTTTCTCAAAAATTGTTCACTTCCTTCAAATCCAAGTATAAAATTCCCAAAACTTTTTTTTTCTAATTAAGGAAAGTACATGAGTAGTCCATTATAAAATTATAGAGTGATCGCTTTAATTAATGATTATAAATTATGCATTTTACATTTTGACTCTTAAAAGTACCCCACTTTAGGTGATAAAAAGGAAATCAAGATATAACTTCAAAGATTAATTTTCTCAAATTTTTTATTAATCAAAATTACAATGACATCATTAGAGTTTAAATATAAGATTATGTACAACCCTAGCTCCCTTACCACTAGACCGACTCTAGCGGTTTAAATTAATTTCTTTAAATAATATCTTGAATTCCAACTTTTTGTATAAAATACCCCTCAAGCAAATTCAATTGTCTTGACTTGGGATAGTTGGAGTTTAAAGTAATTTTTAAGAGTTGTGATAAACGTGTACCCCAAGAAAAAGAGAAAAAAAATGACAAATATAAAGTAATACGATGAAAAATGGAAGGGAAAAAAAGGAGATAGGAAAAAATAAAGTAAAAGTGAGATTAAAAGAAATAACTCACCAGATAGATTATTCATCATAGCTTGCTAAACAATTGCAAAGATAAACTAGAAGATGGTAAACAAATTGCAATACTGTGATGTCAATAAATAACAATTGTTACATGATACATGAAAGTGTACCATTTTCTTGAGGTACTGATATCTCAATTAGCAAAAACCAATTGTATTCATTTGAAAGCATATTGGAGACGTCACAAATCACAAGACTAAACGCAGCTAGGCTTATGACTCAGTTTTGCAAACACGACATCATGTAGCATTTCTGTTTACCTTCAGATATGGTAAGGCTCCAATTACATTGTCATAGTCACTCCTGTTGACTGGGTGCTGTGCATGACAATAAAAAATAAGTTAGATATGAGAAAACCAATCCCATAATTTAATACAATAGTTCAAATCCCAGTGAAAATTTATTCATTCAAACTGCTTCAGACCAGAATACGAAAATTTCAGGGAGGAAGAATTTCCGGTATAAATAACTTCAGGTCAACAAATGCAACATTTTCGCTGAATCCAATTGCATCATTCTAGAAATTAAATTACTGTTGTGATGGGTGTGGACTAGGTAGAAGTCCCCAAGTTCAAGATGAGAAGAAAGTCAAGATACTCAATAATCGGATTTCTCTAGAGAGTAATATTCATTTTTATCTCTTACAAAGCAATCAATTCAAATGAACTACAGTGGTATTCGTTCAATTGATAACTTCAATCAGCTCACAAAGTTACATATATGACTTCACTTTAATTTATCAGATAAAATTGAAGTAATAGATATTTGTTGATATTGGACAAATCAATTGTGGATGCATTATTAAATTAAGATTTCGAAATGTCCATAGAAAATGTGCATCTTGGAAATTGGAATACACTGCACAAGGCATTTCAGTGACAAATGACTTATTTTGGCTGTGCAAGTTCTGTTCTGGAGAAAAAAATAATGAAAGAATGGCTTGGTTTGAATACAGATGCCCCAAAAGGAAGCTTATCATACATATCAAATTCAAACCCATGTTTAATCTCTAAATTTAAATTATAATGATGGGACTCTTTTAGAGACACTGACAACTAGCTATGATACCAAATTACCAATTGATAAGCATCCACGCAATTGGAGTATCCTCCCTTAAAAGCTAGCTGTCAAGGGCGGGGGGAAACCAGGTCATTTATGATTTATGCACTCTTCCAAGAATCGCATACTACTTAATGTGGGAATTAGGAGTCCCATCATACCCAAATCCCTATCATATACACTACGCAGATCGCTGAATAGAATGGCACCTAGTACAGAACAAGCGCATTAAAGGTTTTCTCAAATTCTAATGAAATGCAGTCTAAACAAGCAAATGCAAATGTAACACGGTAGCAACAGGACCAAGGCAATTGCAAGATCCTATTCAACTGCACGCAGAACAATCTAATGAGGCATCACAAAATCCATCCAGTATCCAAACTCGTAACATGCGCAATAATTGATAATTCATTAAAATTTGTATATATAAAAAAAGAAGGTCCTAAGAAGAACATGGCGTTAGGTTAAGCAACGAGAAATAATATAATAGATTGAATATCATTAAGTGACCATTTTGGAGAGACGCAATTTGCGCTTGGTGTTCTTCTTGGAGAGCAAGTGCTGCTTGCCAGCTCTTCTGCGCACTATTTTGCCTCGCCCCGTAACCCTAAACCGCTTAGCCGAAGCCTATAAATAAAAGCATTAACCAAAGCGAAATAGAGATTGAAATTGATAGCACGAAAAGGAGTGAGAGGGACCTTGTGGGTTTTCATTTTGTAGCCTTTAGCGGATACAATGGTGAGAGAGCGAGGCCTTAGAGGGAGAGGAGAAGGAACACTGCACAGATTTTGCCGGAGAATTGGAGCAGAGATACTGCCTGAGGAACTCAGTTTGAGAGAGTTGCCGTTATTGAAAACGGGAAATCGAACGCGGGAAAAAGAAGAAGAGCATGGTAATAGTCCCAATGCAAAGGACACCGTAGCCATCTTCACTCTCAGGTAAAGGTTAGCTCCGTTCAACAAAATTCTGCTTTATGGATAAAACTCACCCAGTTGCCAGTTGCCAGTTGCTAAGCTAGATATAGACACTTTCACCCTTTTATATTCTCTACAATTATATAAAATTTACCACTCACAACACCAAGTCAGGATGGCCGAGTGGTCTAAGGCGCCAGACTCAAGTTCTGGTCTTCGAAAGAGGGCGTGGGTTCAAATCCCACTTCTGACAACGTTTTTTTTTTTTTTTTTATAATTTCAAAAATAAATATCAAATTTTATTATAAGATTAGAAGGATAAATTTGTCTTTTCATTATTTTGTCCATTTTACTTTCCTTCAACTTTCAATTTAATCAAACAACTAAAACAAAAATATTTTATTTTTATTTCTATTAATCCGAATATAAATTTCCTTGTGCATGCGATTCACATCTATTTCATTATTTTTTTCACTCTATTTCTTTTCTTCCTACCTTTTCAATCCAGTGTTATATATTGGAATGCTCAAATAATTTTTAAAATATCAGAAATCATGTTATATAGGTTACCAAATATTAAAAAAAAAAATCTTTCAAATTAATCCTACAATATTAATAAAATATATCAACAAAGAGATTAAAAATTAATAGATTTTCAACACTTTAAGCCTATGCGTATAATTTTATTATTTTAAAAACTATCTAAGAGAGAGGATAACATTAACAGCTTATGGACCAAATTGATAATTGGAAAAATATTTTGACACCAAGAGTGTAAACATCTTGAGTGATATAAGAAGGGGAAAGGAAGTGATTAACATTATTGGTGATGTAACATGACTGGATAAAAAAAATGTATTGTCTTACTTGAGTGTTTGTAAATGTTGAGTGTCTAAATAATAAAACTCTTCATAATTTATTCGATTGCTTTGCTCGACAAAAACACAATCATTTCTCCCCTCCAATCATTATGATCACCTTCACTCGACAAAACACAAACATCATTATTAGGATCACTTTCACAGGATCACTTTTAAAAGCATCATTTTGGCCGAAAAACTTCTCTAAAAGCTAAGAAATTGTAAACAAACTAATTTTGAAGAATCGAGGTTCCAGCCTTTTTCTCATTCCGGTCAGCACCTCTTCCTTCCCTCCCCAGCACAAACACAGAAGTTAAGTTGTTAAAAATAACTATAACATGTTTCTTTCCTACTAAAAGAAAGTGAAGTTAACAAAGAGTCGCTAATTAAAGGAATAAAAAAAAAAAATCTAATGGGGAAGGCTCCTGAGACAATGCTTTACAATTAAAGATTCACCATCCAGATCACCTTTGAGGTCTTCAAACTCATCTTAGCCTTCCTGTCTCCACATATCTGATTCTGCTGGATGTGAGTACAGCAGGTTGCCTCCTTTTAGAGAGAGAAACTAGACACTATAGGAATTTGCAGGGAGAGCATATTTTCATATATGATGACAAATTGTATTCACATAGAGAAAAAAACACAGATTTGGGTAAAAAGGGAAGTACATAGGGACTGTCAGAGTCAAAGCACAACAAAAACATAAATATTACAGAGATTAATCAACTGTAAATTTGACAGATACAGCATTTCAAGTTTCAACTGCAGTGTAGTCCTATCTCTAGAGTGTAACCGATGACGAAGCTAATTCCTCGGGTGTCACGGGATTGTGCAGCTGCAGTCACAAGCAAATATCTGGTAAGATAAACTTAAAAAACCTTGACAGTCAACATTAATTTTCATATTTAAGTGCCATTTTTAACTGTTTGAATCAACTTATTTGTCCTGTGCTGCTATTAGATGAAATGAATGGGTCGTAAACACTATGATTGTCACACATAAATCAGAATCATTTAAATACAAGTCCCTTTGTTCCCATCAACATTTTAAGATTTAGAAAATGAATTTACTGAAATCAGAAGCCAATGCATCCTCTACCCAACAAGAATTGCCATGGGTAAGAGAGCAAGCAAGTAATATACGTGGTCTACCTTGTTCCCTGCCTCCTAAGTAAAGTACAAACAATTGAAGTGTCTAAACACAGAGAACTGGTCTACAAACTAGAATTGGAAATTAAGATGCCAAAACATGTGCCCTTAACATTCCAAGTCCAATCTACCAGCCTCCAGAATGACATCCAAGATTCACACTCCCCTTAACATTTGCACAAGTTACAACTCAACAAGGTTTAGGCTAAGCTAACTAATAATTTATTTCTACTACATCAATAGTGCAACTCACATGATGACATATAATGCGATTAGATGTATTATATATGAAGAAAGACATAGTAGTGAAATTGATTGAAATGGAGAAAAGAGTTACAGCTTGTGCAAGAGTGAGCCAATGAAAAGCTCGGAACAATTCGTCGTTGTGGGAAGGAGCGTAGTCATGGTTCCAATAGGTTATGTCGTGGAACGTTGCATGGGTGTCCCAGTTGTGGGAGGAGGTAGCTAAGAGAAAACCTGCATAGGAAGAGAAAAGATGAATTGTGGTTTATGCGATGCGATTGCGAGGAATAGCGTAGTGTACCAGAGTAACCGTGAGGAAGAGGGAGAGTGGTTCCTTGGAGGAACCTGCCTCTGAAATGGGCATGTTGCAAAGGTAAACCCTCGGGGGAGGGTTTGGGTTTGAAATAGTGGGAAACGGAGGCAGGGCCATTGTGCTTGACGCAGCAGGGGAGTTGATGGACGCGACCGCTCAGATCCTCTATCCCCTTTCCCTCTCGTTTCAGATCTATGCTCGTCTTTTCCATCTCCTTTCCTCTTCCACTCCACACTCCACGCAGACGCAAGCCCTTTGCCTCTAAAATCACTTTCATTTCCTCTCCTTTCCCTCCTTTTTTTATTACCTTCCAAACACTCCACTTAAACCATAATCAAATCACCCCATTTCAAAAATCAAATATATACTATCTTACAATTCATGTAAGTCTGAAATTAAAAACGAATATAAAATATAACATTATAATATATCGTTAAAAAAATAAATCATAGTTAATATTTGCATTCTAATTTTATACTTATTTTTTAAAACTATAATATAACTACAAAATATTCATCGTTAAAAATTATAACTAATTTTTATCATAGACTTAGTGTATATAAGGTAGGTATTTTTCATCTAATATAGTTTATTTATGACATTAAGAATGTAATAGATTATATTGGAAAGGAAATATTTACCTCTTATAATCATAATATATAACAAAAATTAAGTCATTATTTATAACCGTCAATACATCATATTTATATTATAGTTAAAAAATAAATATAAAATTAGAATCCAGATGTTAAATGTGACTTATTCTTTCCGACATATTATTTTGTTTAATAAAATTATTACATCTTACAATGATTACTTTAAAAAGTTATATTAAAATGGTTTCTATTTGTTGGACAACGATAACGATAAACTTTACATCTTATTCCAGTAAGAGTATAAAATAACATTAGTTAAAGTTAAATTTTCGGTTAATTCATCATTTGATTTCTATATTTATATCAATTTTTTTTTATTTTAATCCATAGAGTTAAAAAATTTATACTTTAGTATTTGATGAATAATTTCTTCTTCTTTTTTATTTTAGTCCTCATATATATTTTTTATCTTGTGATGGTTTAAAATTATTTAAAAAAAAAAAAAAAAAAACAACAACAACAACAACAATAAGTATTAATAATACATAACATTTTTAGGTGAAAAAGAGTAAAACAAAAGGTCAACAAATATACAGATCAAATGATTGATTAATACTTAAAATTACAACAAAAGAATACTTAATTTTAAAATTATTAAACCTCATTAAAATTGCAAAATTGTGTCTGTGCTTAAACACCAACAAGATTTCACATCCCAGATCTAATTACTCTGTAGTGACTTCTGACTAACTATATAAGAAAAATTATTTATCTCGATCATTCGTGAAAAATTAGCAATCTACATTTCGTACATACGTATAAAAAATAACAAATCATTTACATGTACTAAAATCAATTATTTTTCAACGAGTAAAATTACTTGATTTATCTTTACTTATTTTAGAACCAAATATTCCTATCCCTAACTCCATTTCCTGTAAAAGATCATTCCCACACTCTCACACTTCAGTCTCTTTAAAACCCAACAAAAAGGAATTAAAATTTAAAAAAAAAAATACTCGAATTATTTACAAAGGCGGTATTGGCAATGGTAATTGATTTGGTTGGGCATGTCAATAAATGAATATCAAGGTTGATTTGGATCAAATAAATTATGTTTTTGCACAATTTAAAGGCCTTTTCTTCGATACAACATGTTGACTATGGTATTGCAATACCAACTCTTGTTTGACGTCATGTTCAAATAACATAGCAATCAAATGTTGATGGATACAATGAGATCCACTTCCGAGATACAGATCCCACCATCATTAGCTGCGAGGGAATGCATTTTAGGTAAACCGAGTGATAGTAGTATTGATCCAATGTGCCTCTTTAAGTCACTTTTACGCATTCTACATATACAATCCCAAAATCCATTTGCATGCAAATGGCTTTACATAAACACAAATAGTCCGTTAAAAGCTCCATTCTTTCTATCAGTTACAAACTGTATCCTTTCGAAATTCAAGCCACCAAAAAGTAGAACTTTGAATGTTATTGTCTTGTCAATATGGCTACTGCTTCCCATTCTAAACTACATATCACATCCTGCATAACAGTCAATTAATAAACTATTAGAAAGGTAGTTTCCCACATACTCTTTCTACCATTTCCATTTGATTTATTTTTAATAAATAAACCATTTAATCTGTTTTAAGAAAACAAAAAATTAAAAGAGCTAATGAAATCATTGCCTCGTAATAGTAATAAAACAACATTAGTTGCCACCACTTACCGATGGATTATGTCGATCAATATCAAAACTATTGATGGCACAAGGTTCAGCCAGCAGCTCAACAGGTTCCTCACCTATACAGTGCAAGAATACAACATCACAGATGCATCAAATCAATCCTCATGTAGTTGAATAAGGAGCTGTTTGATTTGAAAAAATGTTTTGTTTTTGCTTTTGATTAAAAAAATATCACTTTGTTTGTACTGTTTCCTATACAATCTTAGAAAGCAGAAAACAAGTAATGAAAATAAGATGATATTTTTGTAACTAGAAGTGAAAATAAGTAACGAAAACTGATAATATTTATCCAAAATAAGCAGGCCTAAATTTTCTGGTTCACCATAGACATAAATGGAGATCCCACTAACTTATAAATAGACAATTTAAAATCCTATTCATTATGAACCGGCAATTTAACACGTTGCAAATTGCAATGAACATATATACCTTGCTCGATCACACCAAGAATTCCATCCTCTGAGCATATCATGGAAGGTAAGATCCGGGTAGATGAAGTGTTTGATTTTATGCAACAATCATACTGGACCTCCCAAACCTCACTTTCAGATATTGACTGAACTGCAGCATTGCCAGCCCCAGCACCTGAAAGTATAATCGGTTGTTGCTGCCACCTAAGATCCCAAGCAAAAACAGTGCCTAAGGAGCCACCGGCCTGAGTATATTACAATCCCAGAAACGTCAGCAGCATACAAGAAAAAAAAAATAGCACAAAGCATCTCTGAAGGACAACTTGATTTATTAAAATCTTACACAAGAACTCAACAATCATTAATCGGGTACTAATGTCAAAGCAGTTGTTAATGCAAAAGTGAAAACAGTTAACAGCTTCAATAATGTCATTAAACTGGCCTTAAATTTTGTTAAATCATAACTTAATCACATTAGCAACATATCATAGACATACTTTTTAGTTGTCCAGGCATTATCCCACATTCATATTTCAAGCTTTAGCTGGTTATTGACCAATAGAGTTATATACAATCAACTAGCAGTCTATAGTTGCGCACATAAAGAAGCAATGACAAACATCCATAACACGAACAAACAGTTTGGTAAAGTTGCAGCATCAGCCATCAGTGGAGCAAAACTAAAATCTAAACATAACTATCCACCCAGCTCTTTACAAGAACATTCACAAAACGGCATCTGATATCTTATCCACAAATTAACAAGTGGAATATAGGCATCTTACAAGACAAGTGTGCTTTCGAGACGGATGAATGTCAATAGAGTGCACTATCCCAGAAGTCAACTTTTTATCCCTGCAAGCATAATTACATACTAACATCAGGCAGATTTCTGACACAACATATTAAGTTTCTACTTGTATATCATCATACACGCATTCAACAGATTTTGTAGTAAGCATTAGAAAATGTTATACATTTCAAGAAAGTCACGCCATCTATTTTCAAACCACTAATGACGTATAAAATTATAAATGGTAACAAAAACGTGCTTCCATCATCCAATCTCATCTCTTTGACTGACACTCGTAGTATGCATTTGGGTGAACATTCGCAAAATATACTTCGAAGTGACGCAATTTATGTTCAAGTGTTTTTATTCTGAAAGCAAGTTATAGTAAAATTTAATATAAGGGATTAAAGGGTATCCTCTAGTTAAGAGCCAGATACTTATCCTTCGAAATAGAGGTTCAATCAAGGAGCTGAATTCTGCCAACACATACCTATAATTGAACATGCTCAAGAAACAAAATTATCCGCCATAAGCAAGTTAGTTCAATTCAAAATCATTTCTAGACCTAGAATCAAATTCCTCAACGAAAAACCAATCACACAAACATTTACCTAAAACCACATTAGTCCAATACACTAACGCTATTTTGAATAACGAAGCACGCAATTAAACAGTCACTGAAGGCACTGATGAGACATTTTTCGTACCAGTCCCCCTTAAACTGTGAAACCGGTCCTCCCGGTTTCCGCTGGTCCCACCACTGAAGACTGAAGCCGTACCCCCCGGTGGCGAACTCCATCGGCGAAGCCCATCTCACCGCCGTGTACGACACCAGGCCGCCGCTATCAAAGATCCTCCGATAGCTCAAATTGGATTCCCCAACATTGACCAAGTTGACCCTGCCGTCTTCCCCGACGGTGACGCACTCGACGGCGGCGTCCATGAGGTCGACGGAGGAGGCGGGGAGCGAGTGGAGCGCGGCGTCGGGGAGCGAGGCCTCGGAGAGGAGTTCGGCGTGGGAGGGGTCGGCGAAGAGGAAGTGGAGGGAGCCGGAGGAGGTGGAGGCGACGATGAGAGGCTTCTGTAAGAAGTGGGAGGTTCTGAGGGAGGAAATGCGAGATGGTGAGGGCCATGAGAATTGGGAGTCGAAGGAGAGTGGGTTTGGGTTGAAGGAGTGGATTTGGATGGAGGAAGAATCGGTGTCGGAGTCGAAGAGAGCGAGAACCGCGAATCGGTGGAATGGGGATTGCAGAGGAAGCCAACGAACTGCGTCTACGTATTTGAATTGGGGGAACCTGTGTGTTGTTGCCATTGCCATTTGCCAAGGGTTTTTCTGCAACAAACCTCTCTTTCCAATCACCTAAATACTAAATACCCCTCAACGTTTCATTATAAAATATTCAATGTATTATTATTATGTTTTCACCCATTTTCTTCTATTCTCTTCCACTCAATGTTTACTGAATTCTGGCTTTTTACTGTAATTTAACTGAAATTAATAGTAATTGAATCTATATCTTTAATATTATGATATAGTATTTTAAGAACAAAAATAATATAAAATTATATTAAAAAAATCAAGATATGAGAGTTATAATATAAAACACTAAGATGTAAGTTTTATGAGATGAAAAATTGATAAAAATAACTTTAATATCTATGTGTAATATGTAAGTATGTGTTTTTCATTTTTCATAAACGTATCTTAAATTAAATTAAAGAGCATTAATTTTAAAAAATAATGATTCACATATTTTTTTACACTAATTTTTTGTCAATTGGATTAGTTATTTATTGTTCTCATGAGACAATTTTTTAAAATTAACAAAATGGTCGGAAGACTTATTAATTGTCACACCGATTGAATCAAATCAACAAGTTCAAATTTTAGAACTATATTATTACCAATCTGAACACAATTTCTTTTAGACAAATCTAAACACAACTTAAGTTGTAGAAAAATTACTGTGAAACTTAGGGTAACAAAAGGGTATCTTTTGTTATATCATATTGATATTTCCATTACATTGTATGAGCTCTCTGTCCTGTGAACTAAAATTAACATCATGCTAAAATTGATTATGATTATTTTAATCTCACTTTAAATTGGCGTGAAAAATGAAAGGTAAAGTGGAAGAAGGATAAAGAAATAAAGAAGAGATTATAATCTTAATTTTTCTCTTGTATGGTAGCATAGAAATAAAGGAAGACAAATTTTGTAATTGTTTCAATACAAAATTAAGCAAAAATTGAAGTAGATTTTTTTTTTATTGAAAACAATCAGTTGTTTTTTTTTATTTATTAATCACTCATCATAAGTATATTTTATTTATCTTTATAATGATGATAATATAGTTTCAACTTAAAACTTTGTGCATATTATTTTTAGTTGTCATTACTAAGACCAATTTTATTGATTTATCATAAGTGTACTTAAAGAATAATAATCCAATTTCAAAAATAATAAACATTTTTCATTTATCTCAAGTTGCTAAAAATTATTTCCATGCACCCATTGTTAATTATTATTTTTTTTATCGATTTTGGATACACAACAATCAATTATTTTAAAAATAAATAGTTAGTTTTCATGTATCAAGTGACCAAAGAAAATTGATTTTTTAACGGCTCAATTGGTTATTTTTATTAAATAATATTTTTTCTTTCTTTTTTATACCTCTCAAAGCACTCTTAAAATCTACCTTGTTTTTTTTAATCTATTTTTATTATTCTTTTCTCTAATTTCATTGAGTTTATCTCCTTCCTTCCGAAAATACTATAAGGAATCAAACTAAAAATTATAAATTTAGGAAGATTGAGAAGAAAAGGAAATAGGGACTATAAATTTATTCAAGTCTAATTTCAGTTACTTAAACCAAACTACGAGGTTGCCCTTCTCTTTTAGGGGTGAGTCAACCCGACTTAAGTTGTTTATTGTTATGTCTAGTGGATAAGATAAAATGGAGGTCACTGCAAGGAGCTGTGGCGTTTTGGGCCTTACTTATTGTGTTCCTGTAAGAAATGTTGGAAGGAGGTTTCGGACAATGTTGGCTAAAAGGAAGGAGTTTCAAAATAATGGTAAGACCCAACAGCGACCCTTTTTTCCGCTGAGGGTTTCCAAGTCAATTCTCGTTCGCGGTGCCATTGGAGTGTTTGGGTTGGGTTTCGTTGATGCTGGGTTAGCATGCTTTGTTTTCTTTATTGTTGAGTTTATCGGAATTTTTGTTGGTTATGGATCATGGGAATGCGGCAAACGTTGTTTCAGGTACAGCGGAGACTGGTCGAGGATCGGAGTCATAACACAACAGAATGAGGAATTGCTCAAGGTTGCAGCTTTTCTCGTGGTTACCTTGTGTATTTTTCTTATTTTTTTCCTGCCCAGCGAGCCAAATTCTTGAATTTTTCAACTGGGATATGGAACGAATTGTGAATTTGGTTGAATGAATGTCTTGTATACTTGGGGTTTAAAATCCTATTTATTACAATAGTTGATTTATATCTCAAATCGTAGTTATGATATGACTAGAATCTAGAAAGGTAGCTGTATTTCAGTTAAATCCTTCAACGCGGATCCACTAACATAATGCTTACAATTAACAAATTTGTTACTTGAAGAATCACTAGAGAAATACATTTTTTTTCTAGTATACTCTTTTTTAAGGACATTTTTAATTAGTGATTCTTTTCTGTTTTATTTTCAACAACAACAACAATAATAATAATATTAATAAATGGCAGTAAAATATGTTTCTTTGAAAACAGAAACTGATTTCTTATATATTTTTCCTACACTGATGATTTACGCATTCATGGTGCCTTAAAAGATGCAATTCCACGCAAGATTCACACCTTGAACTATCAAAGAAGAAATCCCTCCGCCTCTAGCGTGAAACTTCTGCCAAGGGAAGCATTTATTAACAAGCATCGTGACAATGGCATGCTCTGGTTGCTCTGTTCCGGAATGCTGTCTCCAGTTTAACAGATAAAATGTGCAACAGTAAACATGTCAAACTTGAACATTGAGGGAAAATAAACTTATCTATGTTCATTTTAACGATCACTAAAACGCCTAATTGGTATTGCCGTCGACGCATCCTTTCAAAGGAAGACGAGATCCTGAAACAAGTTCTACTCCCTCGCAAGTGACCATCATTACAAAACAAGCATGTAGACCAGTGAGTGCCTTAAACTTAAGACTTACTTCAGAGCCCTTATTAATAATTTAGTCTCATGATCTTTTCTGTACATCTTCTATCTAAAGATTCGAATGAATAAGTTGTCATTAAAAAATTAAAATCAAATTGCTAAAACACATCACTGCTACTCTTCTTAAAAGAAAATACTTAAATTGCACTCTCATCTCTGACAATTACACAGCCATTTCTCACTACAATCATATTACAATTCATGCAATAGACAAATTGACATAATATAATTCTAGTTATTTCTCTCACAAGAGTTTTAAGACAGCTAATTATTAGTTGGCTAATTAGCACAAGTTGGTGATCCCAGTCGGAAATCCAATATGACTAATGTGGCAACACTATGGGCAAGTGCGCCAAGAACAACAAGAACATGAAAAATTTGATGGCTCTGCCCTGCGATATCAAATGCTCCTGGCTTCCATCGTTCTGGTATTCTAGCAACATAAAATCCAGCTCCAGTGGCATACAGAATGGCCATAGCAAGCTCGTATCCAAGTGCAACAAATATATGGGGCTGACCCCAATGCAGGATAACAGCATGAGCCGCGGGAATTATGCCTGAAAAACCCATGCAGAGGAATAAGGAGGCCCTGAGGGGTCGGAAACGAGGTGTTGAAAGTGCAGGTGCAAGTAAGGTAATAATGGCAAGGACTCCAAGCACAGATATTGACGCCAAATAGAATAACCTTGCGTAAGGATTGCAGAAAAAGGCATAGTAGATTGGAGCAAAGAAGGAACAAACAATCATAAGAGAAATGCCAGCATAGTCTAGACGCCAGAAAAATAGGTTAAAGCCTTTGGAGTGGCAGGCCAGAAGATGGGAAAGAGAACTGCAAGCTAGGCAGCCCATTCCTCCAGCTAAGAAAATGAACCATGGCCACCGAGGAATTGTTTCTAACCCAGATTCTCTCACCTCACCAAGGATGGAAGGGTCCAGAACGTGTCTCAAATGCAAATCCTGAAAAAAACATAGAACAGAACCAACAATTGATAGAGTAGCTAAGGAATTCTTTAGTCATCTTATGTTTAGGTCACACATAGTTCATTATGATAATAATGTCGAAGTACAGATGTAGAAAACATGATTACATCGTGATCTAGAAGCCCTCAGACCAAGTCCTACAAGAGGACAAGTAAGCTCACATGATCCTCTATAATGCAATACACTAGCAGATTTTAATGAAAATTTAAAAATAGAAGAGGACAGCACTAAAAACACTCAAAGGAGTTCACGCTTAAACTTCCCAGGATAATATAAGAAATCTCGTTATAAAAGAGGTTATAATCGTCCTTATATCTTTTTATAAATCTTCTTAATATTTAATAAAAGAATACTAGTATTAAATAAAAAAAATTAAATGTATATAATTCAAACATAAAAATATTCAATACTTTACTTACTTTAAATAGGAAGATTAATAGAAAAATGTTTTAGGAAGATGTAGAATTAGAACAAAACTTCGATACAACTTTACTCTTGATGTTATTCTCCCATTAAGAATTAGAGTTTACCAAGATATAATCTATATTGACTCTTAACACAATCTGTTATTGGACGAATTATTGAAGTAAAATTCTAATTTTGATTAGAGAAGAATGCATCTCCAATGCTCTTCAAATAAGAAACCTACTTTATCTCATTAAGTGGGTCCATGCATATCACCTTAGTTTTAAGCAATGTCACCTTCACTCATCTCCAATGAAAGGTTCTTATGAGTTCTTAGAATAAGAATTGTACTTTTTACCATTGGAGTGTAGTAACATGACTTCCACATGTAGAACTAGTTCTTTTATAAGAACCCACAAGAACCGGAGTCTTAGAGCATCACCAGTGGTAGAATCTACTTTTAGTTCTTAATCCATTTTTTGTGAGTTCATTAATGTCACTTAGAATTTAAAAACTCTCTATTTTTGCTCTAATAAAAGAATCTAACTTGAGCTCTTAATTCACTTTATGTGGGTTCCACAATGGATCCCACACTTTTTTTTAAAAAAATTTAGCGAGTTGGTTGATTTCTCTCTTAAATCATTTAAGTGGGAATAATAAATATTTTTTTTTATTAATAAGAACCAGTTCTCGAGAGTTCTTATATAAGAACTGGTTCTTACATGTTTCATCCATGTCAAAATGCACCAATGGTAAAAAATAAAAAAATAAAAAAAAATTGATTCTTATTCTAAGAACCCATATCAAAACCGCTCATTGAAGATGGCCTTACATTAAAAAAATGAGAAAACTCCAAAAATGTGGAGTTCGTTGTATAACTCATATAAAGTGAATTAAGAACACAAGTTAGATTCTTCCATTGGAGTAAAACACAAAAGAAATGTTCTTGAATCCTAGCACTAAGGGACTCACAAAAAGTGGATTAAAAACCCAAAATGACTTCTATCAATGGAGATGGTCTTAGTTTTAACTTTTAAGCAACTCAATTTTCACTCCAATGGAAGTTCTTATCAACAAATTACTTATAGTAATGTAAACATCTTTTCTCTCTCTTCAACATCTCATATTATCTCTACACACATGTTGAGCAACTCATTGCTCAACATAAGGAATGGTTGATTATCTAATTTTAAGCAACTCAAAATCACATGTGATATACCAAAATAATATTTTATTGTTAAGCAATCATAAGCAACTCTCACTAAAGATGCTCATTAGAAGACCTGCATCTTAGTTCTGTACTAAGAATTATTCAATCACTGATATGTTTGTTGTGTAATGAGTAACGACATAATAATTTCTCCCTTTCCTAATCTTTAAGTATTAAATATTCCATATAACTTTAGTTTTTCTAGCCAGAAAAGTGATAATAGACACAAATTAATTACTATTTAATTTATACCACTATTGTATCATCAAACAATAAATTCAAATTGAATTGATTTTGCCATATGCATAATAATCACTATCACAGTATCACCATTATTATATGATGATGAAACAACGAATTTAAAATAAATTTTAAAAGAAATACCGGAAAGGCGTCACTGTTAGATCCGAAATTCATCTCCGCCACCATCGTCGAAAACCCGAGCGCCGTGGATGATCTGGCGGTCGCATCTCACAGTGACACAACATCAGTTCATTCTCTCTCATACCGAACAACACTATACAGAAACATCAAAACGACGCGGCGGTCCTGCGTTTAAAATACCTGAGCAAACTCCAGAGCTCCGCGGTGGTGCTCATCGCCGCCATTGCAGCAAATATGAGAAAGCCTCCTACATGCCTGCATCAACAGCGAGCGAGTAATTAAACAGTAAAAATCAAACAATCGCACAGCGAATATTTGAAATCAGAGTGTTGGAATTGAATCGGTGGCGTACGTCCAAACGTTTAGGGTTTCGTTGTGCCATGCGAAGATGCTCCACAAGGCCTCCTTCACGGGCCATTCCGAGCGGTAATAGTCTAGTATGAATTCGCTGTCCTTTAAGTACTCCGGCAGCTCCTCGAACTTCACCAGTCGCCGTTTGAATTGCTTCGATTTCGCCGGGATGTTTTCGCCGGATTTCGTGTTTTTGCTCTGGCAAAGGCTAATCATCCTTAACCGACGTTAAAGTGCAGCCTCGCCGGCGACTATTTGCTCCGTCGCAGATCTACTCTAATCTTTGCCCCCACGGAGGCACCTCCACACTTCAACTCTACAATATCCTGCAAATGAAACCGCGGTAAAAAAAATTGATTCCGCGCTTTCTAGAACAACCAAACGTGCACGCGGGTAGAGAACTTAGAAAAATAAATTATAAATATGTATTCATTTATTTTTTAAGCAAAATATAAAAACAAAATTATCGTTGAATAAATATATCTGTGAGAAATTAAAAAAAAAATACATATATAAAAACAAATCTATTTGTTGTGTAAGCATATCTCCGATGAGAGTTACTCTCTCATTTTTTAACTTAAGAAGCAACTTATACACCATTAGAGATTAATTAAGAAAATAGTGGGTTGTTCAACTAAGCAAACATGCTCTTCAAATGTTGGTTGACCCTACTTATATATGAATGATTTTTTAAGCAAATTAAATTGTGGGACCACTTAAACAACTTATAAAGTTGTTGAATTGGAAAATAAAAATGAGTTGCTTAAAATAATGAAACTAAAAAACAAATATAAATTATTGCATGATGCCTTAAAACAATAACTTGTATAAAATAAGATGCAAACTTTTTTTTATTTGATAGTGTGTTTAGCAAGAAACTGTTAGAATAGACTTTTTAGAAGTATTCTTTTGAAAATCAAAATTAAAAGGTTTATATATAAGCTAAAGTTAATTTATATATAAAATAATTTATAAAAACTATTTTCATGTTAGTTTATTTAAAAAACTTATATTTTAAATTTTTATAAGTTAATTTTAATTTATGAATAACTGTATATTTTCTTCCTTTTTCTCTTTAAATAATGCTCTTGTATAATTTTATCAAAACTAGTTCAAGACCATTATAATAACTTATAACATACTTTGACTAATTTAACTTTCGACTAATTTATAAGTTAGTTTGAAAACTTATTTAGTTTTTAAGTTCATTTTAATAATTTCTAACTTATTTTTTATAAATTATTTTGGATGTGTTTGATAGATATAATATATAAGTTAATTAACTAAAAGTTTATATATTATAAGGTAAGAGTTAAAAAAGTAATAAATTTATTAACTAATTAATCAAATTAAAATTATTTTGTAAGATTAGCTAACAGACTATGGAATAAAGGTAAAATGACAAAAAAAAATATCTGAAGTAAAAATTTGTTTCAAATAACTTAATGAGAATAAAAAATATATAGTAACTTTTATAAACTAAATTATTTTCTCAATTTAGTTAAAGTAATTTATAATAATAAATTAAAAGTTATAAAATAAGTTCAATATAGATACCTTGCCAAATATACGTTTTTTTTTTGTTTTTTTTTTTGTTCTTGGAGTATCCACTCCAAGATTTAACGTGGCTGTATATATAAGGTAGGATTCGAATTCTTAATCTTGCTTAAGCGTGAATCAACCCCTACCGTTGAACCACACGTTTGGAATTTGCCAAACATACTTTAGCTTTTGAAAATAAATTACTACTATTTTTTTTTTAAATTTATCTTCATTGATTTATTCTATTTTTTTCTTTTACTTCAAATGACAATTTATCAATAATCTTATTAAATTAAATGTATAAAATATTTTAAATTCAATCAATTAATTTATAAATATTTTTTTAAGTATAATTAGTTTATAACGTATAAGTTTCAGCTAACCTACCAAACTCGCTAATAAATTAGGATAAAATTTTAATAAGCTCTTATTTCTTTAATGTTTTAATCGTATCGGATATTGCTAGATAATATACTTGCTATTTTATTTCATGTTTAGGTTATAATAGATATTATCATAATATAACATAAGTCGCAATATTATATTTAATTTTGCATAGAAAATAAAAGGGGAGAGTTAACATTTTCCCTTAATAATGAATTTAATTATCGGATAAAAGAGGAAGAAAAATAATCTCTGAGTTGTTAATTGGCAATATTATTAACAAAATACACACAAGTATGATATTTACAGGAGTTATTAGAGTGCACGAAACTAATGTGCACCTATAATAATATCGTGCCCCTATCAACAAAATAAATTTGGTCGTAAGTTGTAACTGTGCAACTGAATGAAGGTGACGTGACGTTACATACAAACACAACTATTTTATTATTTTTATTTTTTACAAGTTACATGGAAATACAAAGGCGAGAGTCAAAAAAGAAATAAAAATAAAGAGATAATAAAATATGAATAACCATATATTTTTCTGTGCTTGATTAGAGAAAAAAATTAAAAGACAAAAATTATATAAAAAAAAATCTTCTAGTTTCTTTTTAATTAACTTTTTTCCCCCTTTTCTCTTTGATTTTAATCGAATAAGATTAAAGTTTAAATTTTAGAGTTTAAGTTTAAGTCCTCAAGTTTGATGGAAATGGAAATAAATTTTTGATTATAAACTTTGAATATTTTAATACTATATCCATAAAAAAAATTAGAGTGTAACATTTTTAAATGATTTAAATATCTAATAAAGTGTATTTTCTTTTAATATAACCGATACTCCGCAAATTATTGTTGGATTATATTGTTGATTGTATATGGTGCTAAAACAATTTGTTTTGACTTTTGGATTCACTATAGTTGGTTGACATTATTTTTATGAGATGCATGAATCGTAGAGTGAGGTTTTCTACTTTTGTGGAATCATATTTGTATGAGTTTAATTAAAGAGGAAAGTGGCGTAGAATGTGGGTGCAAGCCTTAATCAGGGGACATTATTGGCAAGTTTACTACGTCGCAATCATTTTTTTAAGGTTGTCGTCTAACTCAACAATTTTCACTTTCTCCTTCTGATTGAACAGGAGTAGGTGCCTTTAGCCTTTAGACTCGAAGCCCTGACAACGCTTCTGTTTGCCCTTGCTAATTGCAATCTGGGATGTCTCTTTTCTTTTCGTTTTTTTACTCATGCTTAACTCGAATTAATACTAACTTACAGTTTTTATAAACGAATAACTAATATGATATTGTCCATAATTAAAAATAGTACATATAATTATTAACATTTTTATTTTGACCCGATCACTCAAGAACTCTATTTAAGAGTGTTCCTTTTCAACTTACAAAATTCACAATTCATACTCATTCCTCTACATAAGAATTAATGACTTCTAAAACAACTAAGCAATAATAATTAAAAATAAATTCCCCTTACCTCTTTAAAAGATGAAAATCTATTAAGCATAAGCTTCACACATTCCGTACGTTCCTACTTTAATTTTATTTCACAACACAGCAACTATGGTCAGTTAAAAAAATAAGAAAGATGAGAAGAAAATCTCAATCAAGGAAGAAAAGAGGAGAAATGAGAAAAAAGTCCTCTTGCACCAACACTTTCTCTATCTAAATATAGGTTTATGAAATTTTACTAAATTTGAGTATTAACTATTACGACAATCAAATGAGTAGATCAAAATGACAAAATTTTTTTTAGTTTAACTGGTATTTTAAGTTTAAATTTTAAGAAAGTTATTATGTTAAATATTTAAAAGAATTTTTTTGTCATCTATGATAATCTTAATTGATTCTTATTTCTTAGAGGTTAAATATTATTTTGTAAATAAAAGTATTAATATACAAGAATAATACAGTGAAATCATTTATACTTTTTATTTATTTATTTTAACGTCCAATTCATCTTGATGTTTTCTAAATTCTATATAGAAGTATGAGTTTATTGTATATGTGTTATTAGTGTAAAATTGTTTTATACTAAGAACCAATTAAATTTCTCTATCTTATCACACAAATTATATTGTTTAAATTAAACTAAAAAAATGGGGATTGGGTTTTGAGATAGGGAAGTGGTGTTTAAATTAAACTAAAAAAATGGGGATTGGGTTTTGAGAAAGGGAAGGGGGGTGAAAAAAAATAAGGGTCCAAAAAAAAAAAAAAAAAAAAAGAGCGTTGAGTTTTGAAATGGAAGAATAGAATGAGATAAGAGAGGGTGATTGGAAGGGAAAAAATGAGGGGTTTGAGGTTTTGAGATGGGAGAATGGAGCATATGGGTTGAAAAAATGGAGATTTGGAATTTTGAGACGAGGGAGTGGAGCGAATGAGGATAACCGGAAAAAAAAATTTAGATGATTAAGGATTTATAATGTGTTTGGATGAGGAATTTAATTGAAGTAATTTATTTATTTGAAAAATTGTAAATTTTTTTAAAATGAGATATCTTGTTTAAATAAAAAATTTATAAAGAATTTAAAATTTAATTATTTATGAATTTTTTTGAAATAGTAGAATTTTAAATTTTTTTTAAAAAATAAGAATTTGAAATTTTTTATTTTTTTTCTTCTTATTTCACTTATAAATTTTTTCTTATCTCTTATATCTTTATATTTTTAATTATTAAATATTTTAAAATATTTTAAAAATTATTAAATATCATCTAATATTAATTTTTAAAAATAATAAATATTTAAAAATTAACTAATATTTATTTTTATTAAATTTAATTTAAAAATCTCAACATATAAATATACTTTTAAAATCAATTTTATCAAATCAATTTTATCATGATAGAATCAAATTATCATATATAACTTAATAATTTAAAATTTTAAAAATTAACTTATTTAAATAAAATATTTTAAGAATGATAGAAATTAAAATTAAAATAATTAAAAAAAAGGTTTATGCATTGAAATGGAAAAATGAAGTTAAACTAAGGTTCTTTTCTTGTACTATTCACCTTTATACTTTCATTTTAATAATACTTGGATGTAGTATAATTTATAATACTTGATTAATATATAAGTAATCGTTTCAAGTAGAACTAGTTATGGATCTTTTAAGCAAATTTTAGATTTTAGTTTTGAAAATAAAAAATACATAATTAAGAGAGAAAAATCTATTAAAAATAATCGGTTATATTTTTAGATAGAGATTAATTATCAATTTTTAAATATTTGAGGAATTATTTATGTGATTTTGTTACTTAAAAAAATTAAGAAAGAAATAATACTTTAAAGATGAAGTGGATGATGTATTAAAAAGTTAAAATGGAGTTACAAATCAGATGCAAGTCATTGACAAAATTGAAAAAATATAAAACCATTTATAGTGTGTCTGGATCTGCGTTCAAAAATTACGTTAACATAGAAGTAAAAAAATTTTACTTCTTATTTTTACGTTTTTGAATTAAGTGTGGCGGACGTGAAACCAAACACGCCAATAATGTATATAAGAATCCAAATAAGCACTTTGAGACTGGTAAATGACTTTTTTTTTTCTTCTGTATTTGGTGTAATTTAGGTGAGCCTCGGTGGCGGTGAGATTCAGTGTTTGAAAATGAGGCATGGTTTGCTTACCAAATTTCTACTAAACACTGAAGCATGACTAATTAATGCATCTCTTTTTTGGATGCTAAAATGCATGTGTCGTAATTCAGTATATATGCATGGCATGGCATGGCATGACACTCCATCTCCATGTACATCTCCATCCACTACAAAAAGCAAATGGTTACTGAAACTGTGATCAAATTCTTAGGTCCCACCATTATTAAGGTTTGCACAGAGCACGCAAATTCAGAAATGGTGGAAAAGCGGGGGACCCTATACCTGAAAACTGCATAACCTTTTTAATCCTCACATGGGGTAGTTGCACCTACGTGGGTAACATGCCTAAATGTTAAATTTCATGTCTAAGGAGACAACGTTAGGTAACTTAAGTATATTACATTTGAAACTGCTCTTTGAAAAAAACATGGAACGAATCACATGTTCATAATTAGGTGTAACGCATTCCTACACTTACCCTCCCTAGTTAAGTTCTATATAGATATTCAACCTGCTAATCAGCTTCAATTTACAAATTATCTATGGTGAAATATGGAGTGAACAATCATTGTAATCTTATTTTGAAAATTAATTATTTTAAAATTATTTATATCTTTAGAGTTTTTTTATTATTATTATAAAGTCATTATAGACTATAATGACACGTGACATCAATAAAATTAATTCATTGAATGGATAAATTAATGAGAATACCCCAAATTTAATTAAGATGAAAAAACAGATATTTTTAATTTGCTTAACACCTACGGTTTATGTTAAAGAAAAGAGACACCTATGGTTTAGCATTTCCTTGAAAAATAACTTTAAGTATGACTAAGCTTAAAACCCATAATTAATTTAATGATCGACTTAAAGAGCCAAATTTACGAGAATACATCAGTGTCTCACTAAAAAAGTCAGACGCTACATTACCAAATAAACCCTACACCGATCTACGATATTTCAACATCATAAAATTTTTCTGAAAGATCCGTATTTAAATATGTAAACTAAGAGAATTTTACAAAAGAAAGAGTATATTAATTAATCATTTTATTTTATAATTAAAAGTTTATAGCCTGTACAAATTATTAATTATAAATTAATATAATATGTTTTATACAAAATACAGTTTTTTTTAATTAATATTTGTATTTCTTTTATAGAAATCAAATTCGGTATAAAAAATTTATGACAATTCATGCAACGTAAGTTAAATCTCTATAGTGTATTTGTACCTATTGTAAAATTATATATATAGTCCTCGGTTTTTGATTCATTATATTTAAAAGTTTTCATGTAAAATATACACTTTTAAAATTAAGTTTTAAATGTACCAAGAAAATTGTTATGATTTTATGCATTTTAAAAAAATGTCAGCCAACTAGATTCTAAAAATTGACAATAAAAAGACTGAAGATGGATAATATTTTTTTTAATAAGTCATATGTATTTTTTGTTGGAGTCGAATATATTTGAGTATGTACTGTGATTTATAAGTGATAAAAATATAATATTTTTAATATTTAACACAATTATATATATATATATATATATATATATATATATTTAACATTATTGATTAAATTTGATTTAATATAAAATGTATTTTTAATTAATGAAGTCTAATATTAATTACAATAATAATAAAATTTCAACTCATTTCTTTTAAATCATTATATTTTTATTTAAAAGTCAATGATTAATCTTTCAAGATATTAAAAATCAATTTAAGAGATTAATATCTTGATATTAAAATTGAACTCTTAATCACAAAAATATAAACAAATTATTTGTCAATCATATGATTTTTTTTTTATGTTTAAAAATCATAAATCAGAACTGATACTTTATAATTATTAAACAGAGAATCAATAATATATTGAAAACTCTCAAATCAAATATCACAATTACTTAATAATTAATCAAAATTCAATATAGTCCAAATTAACTCAAAATTTAATATGATATATACTATATTCATTAGCTTAATATTTTATAAAAATCATCTAGATCTCACCACTAAGTTATTGACTTATTGAGTTTAAAGTTAACATAATTTCCCTCGTATTAGTAGCCATTGAAATTTGAATCACTTCAAACTTGTTTCTTATACCCCAGTTTAAAAATGACAAAGAAGGAATTAACCTGATGATATATACCGCGGGTATATATTAATAAAATTATGAAAATAATGTAAACCGAAAATAGTTGTTTAAGAGGTACAAAACAAGGAATAAAGTTATTAAAATGAACAAATGAAGAGACATGAAAGAATATTGAAAGGTCCATCACACAAAGTGGAGTATAAGGACAAGGGGGAAAGAATTTAACATAGAGCCGATTTTTCAGACGGCCAGAAACAACCATCTTTTGAGCCGGCTATTCCCATGTTTGCCAGCACAATCTCTTCTAACCCCATCCTTTACCCCATTCCTTTATAAATTATAACACTCTTCACTACTAATTATATAAACTTATTTTCTATGCACCATTAATATCATCACTACCATCTGCATGGTGCAACTTTTTCCATGGCCCAAAAATCCCAGAAAAACAATGGCAACATTAATCCTAACACTGTCATCACCAAGGTGAAACGAACAAGGAGAAGTGTCCCTAGAGACTCCCCTCCTCAACGCAGCTCAATATACCGAGGAGTCACTAGGTTAATCTCTTGTTAATTCAATTCATTGCTTCTCTCTCTCTCTCAACATCTTCATCATTTTAATTATATATATCTCCATTTAGCTAGCTAATTGATCAAATATGGTATTCAACATTAATATTAGGCACCGATGGACAGGTCGATACGAAGCTCATTTGTGGGACAAGCATTGCTGGAATGAATCCCAGAACAAAAAAGGACGACAAGGTTTGTATATATATAGTTCGCATCAACTAAATTTATAAATAGAGAGAGAGTTTGATATTGAAGTTAGCTAATATGTTAATTTCCTTCCTGTGGTGTTCTCAATCTTGTGGGGTTCTTCGCATATAATTTCTTCAGTCTACCTTGGTACGTATATATTAGATTATATATTAATTAAAAGATTCATTATATATATCCAAGCAAGTATATATAAGGTTATATTAAGCAAGTTGTGTATTGTTCAGGCGCTTATGATAATGAAGAGGCAGCAGCACATGCTTATGATCTAGCAGCACTCAAATACTGGGGTCAAGAAACCATTCTTAATTTTCCGGTAACTTTATTCTAAATTAAGCACTTTTTATTAATATATGGTGCGTGGTTTTCGTGAGAAGAATGGGATAGATTCAGAAATGATCGAAAATAAAACACAACAATTGTGTTGCAAGTGCAGTTATCGAACTACCTGAATGAATTGAAAGAAATGGGGAGTCAATCACGGGAGGAGTATATCGGATCTCTTAGGAGGTAAGGTTCTAGCAAGCTTCTTTTATGGTAATCAAGAACATTTTCACAAAAACCGTGGATTATATATAGAGACATTTTAATTAAAAATTAACTGAATTGCAGGAAAAGCAGTGGCTTTTCTCGCGGAATTTCGAAATACAGAGGTGTTGCAAGGTACTATATATATTATGTACCCAAAAAAATATTATGCATACACTCAGTCTCTTAGGCATCAACTTAATCAAGTTTGCATGATTTTCTTTTCAATCATCAGACATCATCATAATGGAAGGTGGGAGGCTAGGATTGGCAAAGTTTTTGGCAATAAATATCTTTATCTCGGAACTTACGGTAAGTTTCATTGCCTAAAATACTTTTAGCCAGCAATGGAATAATGGCAAAACACAATATTAACATTAGTAATTAATACACGTAGATGCTTTGAATCTTATTAACCTGTTCTTTGTTCTTACGTAGTACTACGGAGTATTATTTATTAATGACAACACTGAATTGCATGTGTAGAACCTTAGATAATTTTGGATGCTGCATGTGTTTAATACAAATTAAAATTTTATCTTAATAATTATTATACATCTTTAATGTACGTGTGACTTCTCAAGACAAAGCTTTAATTTTGATACAAGAATAACACCGAAAAGAAATACTGATTTGCACATTATTTAATAATACTAGTGTGGCACGACTCTAACTAGTGCAAGTGATCGATGCTTCTGGTACACGTCCATAAACCTCTTCACATTAATTTCAAACTTAAATGAAAGCATTTTGACAATTATTGTAAACCAAAACCATCCAGAAGTACCATTTAATAAATTGCTTATATGCATTACATTCAATTCGGTTATTAATTAAATAAATTATCCCCATGTCATGGGTTTGCATGGGTCATGTATGGCATATTTATCAGTCGTATTCAATGGGGAAGGATACCCACCCACTCTTAACTGATTTGTTAACTTAACCTTTTCCTACTATATAATAACATGTCATGTCATTATTAATATAAAACTTAAATTGATCATATGCTATCCATTATTATAAAAATCTCAAATCAATGATCTTTATAATTTTCGCAGCTACCCAAGAAGAAGCTGCTACAGCCTATGACCTGGCAGCTATAGAATACCGTGGACTCAATGCTGTCACCAATTTCGATCTCAGCCGATATATTAAGTGGCTTAAGCCCAACAACATCAGCAACAACAACAGTGACCAGATTAATATTAATATTAATCTCACTGACATAAACCATAATTGTAGTAGCAACTTCACCCCAAACCCCAATCAGGAGCAAGAATTAGGCTTACTCCACCAGGACTCACTAATTAATAACATTGTAGAAGAAGCTGCCACGTTGGTGCCACATCAGCCTCGTCAAGCAGGTGCCACGTCAGCATTGGAGCTGCTACTTCAGTCATCGAAGTTTAAGGAAATGTTGGAGATGACATCTGTGGGCAATGTGTCAACAACACAGGTAGAGTCTGATGAGTTGCCACAGTGCACATTTCCTGACCACATTCAGACATACTTTGAGTATGAAGATTCCAACAGGTATGAGGAAGGGGATGATGTCATGTTCAACGAGTTCAGCTCCATTGTTCCGTTTTACCATTGTGACGACGAGTTCGAGAGTTGATGTGATTGCATGGAAAAAGGAAAATCTGATATGTTTGTTTTTTATTTATTTAATTTGTTGATTTATGTTAAAGACTACTCATATATAAATCTTTAGCTAAGGTTTTAATTAGTTTTTAGAAGAGAGACCATCATTCACAAATATTATAATAAGTGGACTTTTTTCATTTTGTGAATATGACGAACCAATTAATCTGTTTATTGCAATTGATTAATCTAATACAGATAGATATTATAATATGGCTTTGGGAAGATTGATCTTCTACAAGTGGTGAAGGAGGGACAAGCATTTAGTCCTATTTTTTTATAAAATTAATTAGGATAAACATTTCTTCATCTTTGTATTCCGATACAATATATGTCATCGATATATTTAAGATTAAAATGCAAGTAATCATTTAATTATAATTACATAAAATCTTATGAGCTTAGTATTAAAATAAAAAAATTTAGTGACATTGACAATTAAAAACTAATGTATAATTGTGAGACATAATTTTCATTTATTAAACATTATTTTAATATAGATAGAAATTAAACTTACGAGTACCATGTCAACTTCTCGTATTTTAGAACAAGTCTTACAATTATTAAAACAAGAGAATTGTTTAAATATATATATATATATATATATATATATATACATCAG